ACATACATACATACACACACACACACACACACACACGCACGCACGCACACCCGCACCCGCACCCGCACCCGCACCCGCACCCGCACCCGCACCCGCACCCGCACCCGCACCCGCACCTGCACAGACACACGCACGCGCACCACAACAGCTGTCGGCTCTCTGACTATCCCAGACGGTAGCCGACGCCCGACAGCTAAGCAACAAGTACAACTGCTCCGTTACTTGGGCGACGTATGGTTCCAACTCGCTTTGCTAGATGGCCGCCTAGGTGGTGCCTCAGCGGCCTGAATTATAAGCGTGGTCTCTTCATGTTCCTTTGGTCGCAGGTGCCGAACTTGTGCAAAGAGGGCATTGGCAATTTGTTACATTCCATCACTTTTGGCCTTCCAGCAGCTACACGGCGAAAGCCCGCTTCACGGCTGCATGTCCTTCACCCGTAAGGCGAGGGCATGCAGTCAAGCAGCCTTGCCTGCATGGTGGCTGCGACTTGAGATTGCTTGTCGGTAGTCAGTTTAATACCTGTGCCACGTGCTTCAGACATGCATCGCTTCCGTTGTCCCTTTAGCAACGATTTGCGCCCTGCCTTTAGCACTGAAAGCAGATGACTAAAGCGCAGGCGGGCCTCGCGCAGTTTTGACAAAGCCTGTGCGAACCTTGAAGTGCAACAGACCATTTCAGCTACCACGAACACACTGCCCAGGTTTCAGGACAGGCAGCAACCACTGCGTATCAAGGGCGCGAGCAATCAGCTTTGAGAGCGACTTCCGGCACAGAGAGGCAAACCTTGAAGGTCTAAAAGCAGGCTGTGCTGCGGAAGTTCTGTGCAAAGACCACCCAAAAGGTTCCCTTCAACACCTTGAACCTCAGTGAGCTCCCACATCATTCGGCGTTAACAAAAATAATTAAGCCTCTCTGCAACCAAGCATCACAGCACGTGAACTCAGCAGGAATTTGCATGTTCTTCGCTGCAGTAAGCTCCCTAGAAGCCTTCGACGAAGACTTTGCAACGCGTGGGCGCAAGATGGCGCAAGCTTCCGCATGTGATGAACTAATAACAAACCGTGGTCGATTCCAAGCAGGCCGCACTTCTGGACGGCTCGAGCCAATCGTCACTCTTCACACCATGAGCACATTCAACCTTGAGCTGGTTTGCCGGTCCTTACGATGGAATGGACACTTTCGCCCTTTTGCAGCCGCGTCGAGTCCGGACCTCGTGACGAAGCTGCTGCGGGCCAGTCGGGCATTTACGTGGCGCCCTATGGTGGACCTTCACCGCGCCCGAGCCATCGACAGAGGCGAAGCACGACTACCATCGGCTACAACTGCAGGAAAGACTTCAGGAAATTCTTCAAGCTCTCTCAGTGCTATCAAGATGTCTTCTGCAGAGGTGGACCCAAAGCCTTGCGCGCAGAATTGCTGTGTGCAACATTGCCGGTTCCCCAACAAACGAAGCTACGGCTGAGGAGCCTGAGGATTACACCTGTGTAGATGCCAAACGTGGAGCCACACCGCTGCCTTCACGGTACTTTGACAGCCTGCGACGAATACGAGGCGTGGCATGTCGCACGCAATTGGCATCCCGAGCATCCAAATCTCAGTGCCGAACTCGTTGTCCAAGTCTTCGAACTTCTGGTCCCGTCCAGGGCAATCATCCGTGACAAACACCTTCTAGCATCTGGCAATGTCTCTACCGTGTGAACCGGACGTTATAAATTAATGTAAAATTATATTAATCATCGGCTCGCTCTTGGTGCATTTTGTTGGTGCCACTTCGACAGCAAGCGAAGTCATCCGAAACACGCAGGCGCAGAGTGCTCGAGCCACGGATTGTTTCTGCGGCTCGAGCTGAAGGCCTTAGCGTGTCTGGGCTGTGCGAGCTGTGCGACACTGCTTTGCCTTGGGAACCTTGCCCAGAGTGAAACTGCATAACGTTGCTTGTATTGTTCATGCACGGGCAGTGGCCAGTATTCTTCAATTGCGCTCAGTCCTTTCGCCTTGGAGTGAAACTGGCCTCTTTCAAAGCAGCTCGCACCGGGCCTTCCACAGGGATGCCAAAGCCCTTGGGTCCAAACTTTTGTTTGGGGGCGCCAGCGTCCACGGCAACCCGTCGAGTACAGCCAACCGGTGGCGAAGTCCTCGTAAAGCCTACCGGGACTACACCTACAGTACCAGATAAGCGCAAGCCTTCATCTTCCAGTGCCACTGGAGGCAGGGGCGGTCGTCGAATCCTGAAACAACTTCAATGCATTCTACTCGTTGGGATGCAGCTCTGACCCCACCAGCACAGCGGTACCCACACAAAAAAAAAAGAAACACTCGGAGTCAATGAGGAGGAGTCTTACCTCTCCTTTGGTGCTGGGACACGTTCTTCGACCCAACTCTTTCGGTAGTACTTTATTGGCAAAACTAGCGGAAGATGATGATGTCTTGTCCCTTGGGCCGTCGGCTGCAAATCATTCACCTTGCTGCAGCAGAAGACTTGATTGTGAAAGAAGGCTTGATCCGGAGGTGAGCCCCGTTGTGCCTCTTCTCAGGTTCCCGGTTCCCCAGTCGTGCTTGCAGCTACACTTCGTTTCTGAAAAGACTTTCAGCTTTAAAAAAAACCGGGGCATCATCAAGCTGCCACATGCACAGCTTTGGCAACTCCTCGTGGATTCCTCTGACCTTCGCAGACGCACCTTGCAATAAGATGCAGTTTGAGCTATCTGCTCTAAGCAATGCGGTTGAAAGGTGTCTAAAGGTCAGACGAGCAGGCGAGCACTGGAAACTGCTGGAAAGCTCGACATCCGAGCTGCCAGGAGCTCCCGCTCCTCGGTGAGGAGCGCGGCTCCACGTGCACTGCTTCGGGCCTCGAAGCAAAACACACCAAAAGACGCAAAGCCTTTCCAGTGGTATGAAGATTATTGATTTGTTCACTGTGGTTTCAGCTCTCTGCTGAGGCATGTTGAGGCTTAGACATCAGCCACGTGCGGCACCCTCGGCGCCACCGTCTCGAAGCGGCCAATGGAGGTCAAAGAGGGTGAAGACTCCAAGCTCGGAGATCTTGGTGGGCGGACAGATCTTGGGACATGGATGCTGGGGCCCTGGGCCATGCTCTCTGAGCACCTGGTTGAGAAGCGGGGTGTGCGAACCTCATCCGCCTGGCCTCAAGACTTGCTGACATGACATTTTTGAACATCCATCAACATGGTGGATCTGCCAACATGCCATGCCAATGTTGTGTTGTTGTCATTTGCCGAGTGGCGCTTTTTGAACCAAGCGGTCTCCTGCTCTGCCTTCTGCCGAGCAGAGCGAGCCCTCGCTCGCCGACCACTGTTCTCTCGTCTTTTCTGCTCCAGTTCCTCAGTGACACGATGATGTCTCTCGCTGCAGCACGAAACCTGCACTGGACCGGCGTTGGGCATACGTTAGAAGAGAAGCACAAGCTGAAGACATTGTAGACTGGTAACTATTTATTGTGCATACGCGCCGTCGTTTCAGGCGGGGCTCCTTTACGCTGCACTGCTTGGCGGTCTCTTGATACTGCAGCATCTTCTCGTTGTTCATTCTTGTCTCCAACACTTCTCTTGTCCGCCGTCGCACCTCCTCAATAATGCGGAGAGCTTTGGCTTCCTCAGACCTTAAAAGCCGTAGTCTGTTCGCCAGGAGTTGAACGTCCTTCTCCGACCGCTTCCGAGCATCACGAGAGGCGCTTAACCTTTGGCGAGCGATGGTGTTCCAGGCTTCCATGTCTCGTTGAAGCTGCTGTCTAAGATCATCACCTGCTTTGGGAAGCCGTGGACTCCAAGCAGGCTCACTCTGCGAAGTATTTGCGTGCAGTCGGACAAAGGAAGGATACATCTGTCCAAGGCGCTCTCCAGGAAGGTTGCGGATTCACCCACTTCTGTTAGATCTGTTATCTGGCAATCCGCGGACATCCCGGACTTCAATCCAACACCGCCAACAGAAGAGGCACATTGGACGGCTCTATCATGGCTGTCACGCTAAGCCCCAGCTTAAGCCATCTTGTTGAGCTTCGGCAGACGGCAAACGGTATCGCGGCATTGGCTACCAGCACAGAAAATCAGCTACTGCTCAGGGCAAGGATAGCACTTGCGACAGATGCCGCTGCCTCTAAACATGCAGTGGCCTCCGTCAGTGCGTGCTGCGATACATCGCCGGAAGCCTAAGTTGAGGGGGTGCAATGTTCGCAGCAATGCGACCTCCAGAACCTAAACCAGAATTCTGGAGCGAGCTGTGGCTTCAAAATGGGGAAAATGGCAAAGCAAGTTGAGCCGGAGCAGTGGACAAACTCACCTCGAGCAACAGCTATGCCCCAGACCAGCAAGCATTCAGCCGCTGCCGCTGAAAGGCTGACCACACGAGAGGATCGCGCAGAGATCGGCTCCACGGACACAGTCGGACAAAACCGAACCTTTCAAGAAAAGAAAGCATTCGCTTTTCGTGGCTGCCTGCTGTGGCCTAAAAATCGCCGCCCCGCGCCCAGCCTTGGGCCTGGCATTGGGCTCCGCTTGCTCCAGGCGCGAGCGGCTCGCCATGCTCGCCTCCGCCTGACCGGCGGCTGCACAGTCGCTGTACGCGGTGCCGACTTCCCGAACCTGGACTGCAGCCAGGAAGGGCACACCCTCCAATTCGAGAGGCGCCTTTCTTGCACGGAGCTGGCTGGTGCAGTACATCAAAAGCCCTGCTATAATGTGCTGCAGCTGCGACTGCGCTCAGGCCTGAGGTGATTCTGACCCAATCGACCGCGCAAGCTCTGGCAAAGCACCTGTTACGACTGCTAGAAACGTGCCAGGATGCAGTAATCGAATGAAGACCCAACTTGAGCAGAACACCCCGCTCAGCGAAACCAAAATGGTCTCTAATAACCATGGAAGGCTATCTACTACATCACCGGGCGCCCGAATGACAACACACTGAAGCGGCGCAGCAGTCCAACGGAATCACGAATCAGCAGAACACGACGGACAGTTCGTCCTGCCGAAGGCCTGCGTCACGGGCTAGAGTGTGGCCCCTGCATGCACTTGCCAGAGCCTGCCTGTGTTCTTTCTGCATGATTTAGCCGGAAAGTTGAATTGGAAATCCGAGGTCCATATCAATCTTCCGTCTCTGTAAGCAGTCGATCCTGCTTGCAGGGTTTATCCCTTGCGACATGGCCCGGCCAACTGCCCGGGAATGCTCAGTGTCCCACTCCAAAATTATGTAAAGCGTGTTTGCGTGCATGTTTGCATGCGCCTGTATTCCTTCGTCGTCTGTGCTTTGCTTTTCTGGCTCTGTTGGTGTGTGTGTGTGTGTGTGTGTGCACGCGCGATTGCGTTTGGGTTTGGGTGGGTGCTTATGGCACTGTCCAACTAACAGGGTGGTAGACTAGCTGCGCAGCGACTGGCGACATGGAACGCCTTGTCGCCCACCTGCAACTTTGCCAGTCGTCGCTGTTTGCATTGTTGGCATTGCTTGACCGCGACCGCAATTCTAGAGTTGTCTAGGCGCGAGCATGATTGTCTTTGAGCACTTGCTTGCTCACGTGGGAACGTGTGGAAGCCGGCAACCGCAAGTGTCATTCGGGGCACCAGGAGTAACATGTAGTAACCGACTGAGGGTGTGACTGTAGGAATGCATAGCATGCTACAGAACTCTTAGTACTTTCTCAGCATTGTGCATCAAACCACCAGAAGATAGGCCGATCGTGGAATACTCTGGCGAGTACGATGTCTGTCATAGTTGCTTGGATGTAAAAGAGCTTCAGGGGACCAAGGAAACCGCTTCTACGCAGTCGCAGCGTGATGTTCTCAGCATTCACGACGACAGTGTCCAGTTCGCCCTCCTGGTTGCCAAGCTCAGACGCGCGAGATTCAAAGTTGAAAACATGTTGAAGATCGCTTGTGAGGTTGAGCCGGTTGGTCCCTACTGCCATTTTGAACGCACTACGGCTCCCGAGGTAGAATAACTTGCCCGAGTACACTGTCCTCGATCATCATCTTCATGTGGTAGAAACCTGCAGACTGAGCTTCTGAGCACGATGTCAACAGGTTGAACCCGACTGACGGTTGTGAGATGTTGTTTGTATAGCCTTGATGATCTGGACCAGCAATGACTGTGCCGGTCAGACCTCTGCACAGCTGACATGCGATAGGAGCCTGCAGAAATGGAGTGCTAGCCAAAACAGAGAATCTCTTCGGCTGACATTGAGAAAACATTCGTGCCTTCCAGTTCTTGCCGGGAGACCAAACCTGTCAATCCGAACCCGTATGAACCCGTCCTTGGCGCTTGCTCTGCCACTGTTGCTCACAGGAAGGGTCAGCGACCCGCGTACAAAGGCAGTATCTCTCACTGGACGAACACTACCTCCAACCTGGGCTCTCTTCTGTCCGATTTACTGCTGGACTTCAGGTGTGTTGTTGTCAGGATGAACCGCACAGTTGCTAAGTTGTCGACTCGAGGACAAACAACGACGACCTTTTCGGAGCTGACGTGCAGCAGGTGAGACGACAATGCAATAAAACTGCATGCTAATTGCACTACATGCCGGGTCCGGGGATTTACTGCCGAGCACTCATGGGCAACACGATACAACACGAAATGGCCATCAAACACTGGGCAACTTTGGCTTTATGCCCTGTCCGCACCGCCGCGCAGCTCGGGCATTCACGCTTTCATACTGCATCCATTTCTCCTTCATTCTGTCAGGCCTTTTGAGCCGACACACAGATCCACCCAAAGTCCTACAGTAGTGTATTGATAGAGGGGGAACAAGAACAACCCACAGATTGGAAACGAACTCGCACACACTGCAGGCGAAGCAGAATGCAGTGCAACACACGCACTGGTTTTGCCTCCGCAAACCTGAACTTTGCACTACAACCGGCTCAGCCCCATCAGCTTGACGTAAGCAGGCATCGCAGCAAAGAGAACATCGTTGTGGCCACACCCCTGTGCCAACATTGGGACATAAGGTTTTGAGAGTTGGAGATTGATGAAACATAGCGCTTCCTGAGCGATACTTCACGCCTGCTGCAGAGGTATGGATATAGGCAGACTAATTAGTCACGAAGCAGACCAGCCTTTGGCCGCAGCAGCTCGCACTCCTTGCCCAAAGCTCGAACTGAGTTTTGCAGCTCCTGCATCGCCCAAGTTGCTGCCCGCAGCATCGCATTACAGTATCTTACCGTCAAAAGGCACAAGTGCCGCGGAGTCTACCCTCCAGGGCCAGTCTCGTGCCCTTCCCTCGGTGTTGGTTCCGTTGTTGCTGCCTTGCTGCTGTTGCATGCCGGTCCGTAACAGCGGAGACGAGCTTTCTGAATTCCAATGTCTAGTTTCCTGGTTGCCGCTTGAGCATCAACAAGCATCCGGGCCTCCCCGTGCTGAAAAGGGACGATCTCATCGTCCGGCGGGTGAACTATCGAAACCTGCGGCTGGAAAGCTCGTGCGAACTTGTTGTAACTACTTCAAAGTGAGTTTCATTCTGAGGCCTGCCAGCCCGCAGCGGCTGCTTCAGGCACAGTCGCGGCATTGTTCCATCTGTGGGTCACCAATGCCCGCAAAAGCCATCGAGGCAAGAGACCACCGAACAAAACTGCTGCCATTTCCTAAGCGTCAGAGCGAAATTGACTGCCGGTCTTATGCGCTGCACTGGACAGCATGGAAACTTCGAATGGGAGAAGCTGAGACTCGTCGACGCTGAGAAACGGGGAAGACAGAAGCAAACGCCCCGGTTGTGCTTTCGCATACTCATCAGACCTTCCATCTTCAACATCTTCAACGCTTTGTTGCACATGCTTGACTTGCCATCTTCACTTCTGGCGGGAGGGACCCTGCGGTACGACTTTAAAACGGGAGCAAGCAGCCAATTAGAAGAATGTCGAGCACCATTATCTGAGTTCGCGTAAGGGCTTCTTTGTTGAGATTTTGAGGGACTTTCGACTCAAAGGAAAGGCTTTTGGACTTCGCGTGTGCGTATCGAATCACAGCATGGTAGCCGCCAGCAACATCGTCATTCGGACATTGCATGTATATCTCCTGGCCGAAGACTTGTCCTTGACGCGCGTCAGACTTTTCTCAGACTGGATAGATGACATCGGGCGTTCATGTGTGTCCTTGACTGCCATGACGTGACATTTGCGGTCTCCAACAGACCGAGAGATGGAAACAGCAGAAGGATGCAAAGGGGACAAGCTGATCCTTGTAAGCAGGCGTTTTATGGGGAGGGAATGCGTTTTCGCATGGCAAGGGTCAATCAATCGATACTGGCTGCATGGCTTACAGTTGCATGGCGGCAGGTTCCCCAGCATGTTAGAAGCACGTCAGTCGGTTCAGAGTCGGCAACAAGACAGTCCTGAGAAGCCCGGCAGAGGTATCTGTGCGATCGAAACCTATTTGCTCTAGCTGCCATTTAAGGCTTCTTTTTGCAGCTCGGTCCCCATGTGTCTTGCCTAAGCCATCTTCCTAATCTGAGCGTTCCTGGCAACATGGGCCCGTTCCTCCAGGCGAGAGAACAGCACCCAGGACCGATGACGCCAATCCGCTGCAAATCCGACTTCCCAAAACCATCGACGATTCAGAGTGAATTCAGAGTGCCTGGAAAGGCTTGCTGCAAGCTGCGATGCAGCAGCTGCCCCCAAGCTGTGCCCAAGCAGGTTGATTGATTCTGGCGACCTTTGGTGGCTGTGTGGCACAAATTGACATTTGTTGGGCGCGGAGGCTCCGAAATCAATCCCAACAATGCTGACGAAGGAGCTTTCGCCCAAGCTCACTTAGTAGCTGTGCCAATGCTTGCTTGGAAGACTCCAGGGCGGCTGGAGGAGATGGCTCTCCGCCTGCTTGCTCCACAGATCTCGCACGCTATTATGCATGAACAGTTCAAGTTTAAGGCATGCCAGGTACGGACTGCAGCAGAAGCAGCCAAAGCACTGTTGAAGCCAAAACCAGGGTAGTCGATCAGCAGGAAGCATGGCATGGCACGCGTGTCCTGAGCCTGTGGCACATCATGGTTCGCGTGCCCATGCCAAGTCAGACATGACCCTCCTTCATCGACACGGCAGCCTCACAGAAAGGCAGCCTGAGATGTCCATACCATCAATTCCAGTTCCCTTAATCGCTTGCAGTTGCCTCATGTGCGGTGTTTGTACGATTTCAGCGCTCACAAAGACTTTGGAATCTTTGGAAGGACGTGGATTGGAAATTGCGCTTGTCTTCATGCGCCTGCATGGCTGCCCGTGCTTTGGGTCTCCTTCTAATGCGGCAAGGCGGCCAGTCGGCTGAAACCATGGCATTTCCACCTGCAGCCGCTCTCGAAATTAGCAAGCAGTCGGGACCATATGGTTCAAACGACCTCACCATGTAACTTTGCGGGGTTCCTGTGCTCTCTTTTGACATGCATTGCTGCAACCTTGATGTTACAAGGTTACCTTTGACGTCCTCCGCACTGCACGACGAACAATCTCGCTTGTCTGGTGCGTGGGTACAGGGAGCAGGGGCCGCACGTGATAATTCAGAGCCTATGCCGGTGGTCAACAGCTTGTGCCATTCCGTGCCCTTGTTTCCTTTTGTTTTGCCAGCTTCCTTGGCCCGATGTTTGCGGGCCAGGGCCACGCTGTCGACCTGTCGTGACGTTGCTGAGCACCTCCCAGCATGTGAGCATCGGAACCGGGCAAAAATTCTGTCTAGCTGCAAGAAATTCCTCGCTCAACATTTCTCTGTGCCCATCGGGCTCCATCCGTTGCTGTCCTTTCCGTTCAATTGTAGTCATCCGTTCGGGCTGCCGCTCCAAATTCAATGCAAAAGCAGACTCACCGCACGGACTGAAAATGAGACTGCCGCCGCGCATTCATGCGACTTCGCACTGTGCGGCGACAAAATGCAGACTCCACAGCTGGTCCTTTGAAGCTTTGAAGTTACCTTCAACGCAGCTGAACATTCAGTTGCTTGGCTCAGTCATCTTGCATCGTTTGCGAAACGGCACGGCTAGTAGCTTCTACGAAAGCAGTGGAAATCCAATTTCTACGTTGACAACCGACAGGGTTCGACAGGGTGGGTGTGGTGCGAATCTTGAGAGGCTTTCTGGGAAAAAGACAATGGCGCACACTTCTTTGAGGGCTAATTCATGGCCCACGGGTCACCACAACGTCTTTGCGACACTGGCATTTCTCCAACCGTAGTTTTATAGATGAGCGGTGGTGTCGAAGGCACGATCAAGAAATACACACTGAGCACTTCACCAAACACCAACCATAAAGGGCAATCCGTCATCTCTTCAGGGCGAACCTCCGAGTCAATCCGCTGGCTGCTGCTTGGCAGAACGAGTGCTCACCCATAAGCTTCGAGCAGCTAAGACCGGAACGAACAAAGCCTTTTGCTGTCGCTTCTGCACAACATAATCAAGCTCCTGCACATGTCGGGTTAGGATGCTGCACAAGAGAATAACAACCATGACTGTCCTTGATCTTGTACCCGTGGAGCTGCATTCTGAGGGACATCTCTGCAATAGCTTTTTCATAGTACCTTGGGCCCGCACAAAACATGTCTTGTGTGGCCGCGCGAAACTTTGCGGGGACAGTTCGATCCAGGATACGAATCTCCAGGAATGGCCCGGGGATGGTACAGCCTGGCTGCGGAGGTCTCAGCATGAACTTTCGAAAGGCTGGGATATGCTCAGGTTTGTATTCTTGATTTGTTTTGATGGCTTAGGCTTGTGCTGCTGGAAAGCACTACTGGGAAACTCTGTCGTAGTGGTCCTGGTTCCCTGAGTCTCCCGATGGACTTTGTGCCTTGTGTCCCGGACAACAGCGCTCAGTCACTGCCAGACTCCCGATTATGGTATTTGCTGGACAGCGCCGCAGTGTCTCGACTGTTCTGAATGCAGCGGCGAATACAGGGTTTCATGTGCCAGTCCCCATTGCCTTGCGTCCAGGTGCCCTGGGCATTCCAGTTTCTCAGTCTGCATCTAAGTGTTCAGGTGATGCATTGGGGTCCGGCATTTCGGTCATTGTGTTCTGCTGGTAGCAGTAGCAGTAGCAGTAG